TGTTTAAAAGTTCATATTTATGAAAACACTTTTCAATCAGTTCTAAAATCCAACGGTGATATTCAATGTTTAGTTTCACCTGCGAATAATTTTGGTTTAATGGATGGTGGTATTGATTATTACATTTCAGAATATTATGGTGGTGTTCATAACCTTATACCAGTTGTACAAAAAAGAATTGAAAGAAATTGGTGTGGTGAACAAAATGTTGGTAGTTGTTTGTTGGTTGATGTCAGAGATTTGGTTGATGGATTAAAAAAAAAGGAAAATGTACAAAAAAATTATCCTAGTTATATTGCACATTGTCCAACAATGAGAATACCAAAAAAAATAAAATCCGATGATATTGTTTATAGATGCACATGGGCAATGCTAACATCCATTAGAAAACATAATTTGAAAATATTAGAATCAAATAATGGCGGTGGTAGTAAGAAACATGAATGTATAAAGAATGTTCTTTCTGCAGGTTTTGGTACAGGAACTGGCAGATTCCCTGCAAAACTTTGTGCAAAACAAATGCTTTTAGCGGTACAAAATTTCATTGAATGTCCTGCTAATAATAACGCTTTTGGCGACGATGGTAATGACGGACCAACAACAACAAAAAATTACAAATATGAGGAAAGTGATTTGTTGGTGCAATGGTCTTATGCAAGAAAAGTTGAAGATTCTGTACAATCCTTACTTCAGAAGGAATGATTTTTTTAGAAAATATTTCTAATCTCGATAATAATGTTGATTTTTTTTTGTAATTCTATTATAAAATTTGTAAAGAAAAAATTTATAGGCGTCCACTAAAAAAAATTTTTTCAATGTTATTTTTTTTTAACAAATATCCGTATCTAATCAAATTAGTCCATTTGGGCTGACAGATCTGCTTTTTCTTTCCATGTAGCTGTTAATTCCTGAGAACAACATTTAATAGTTATAACCAATATTTTTGTTTCTATTATTATTATTGTTTTTATTATTATTATTATTGTTGTTGTTGTTGTTACTTTAATTTCTTTTCATATGTTTATTAACAACACAAAACGTATTTCTATATTTATAACCTCCTGACAACGTGTTTTCCATGATTTTTTTTGATTAAATCATTCATCAAACATTGTTTCTTTTATTTGTTTTTCTCTTTGTCTCTTGAATTAAATTATCAATTGTTTTTTTTTTTACATATCCAAATATGTGAAAAATCTTCATTTCCTTTGTTGCAAAGGCAACATTTCTAATCATCATCATATATATCTAGATTTAGTGATTTGAGGTTTCAATAGTTGAAAAATGGTTTATTACTAGCATTAAATGATATTTTGGTGATTAGTATTAGAATTTAATATTTTCCAAGCCATCAGCCAATTAATTAAAGTTTGTTCTGATTTGTCATATTTGCTATTTCTACTTTTTTTTTTTGTTTCCAAATTAAAGGTCTTTTGCTTTTGAGCAACTTTTTTAAAATAGCCTTAATGATATTTCAACTCTTATATTATTGAAATTAAAACTTTTGATGATTAGTCATATTTGATTTCCATCAGATCAGAATCCAAACCTAACTTTACTAAAATGTCTACTTTTTCATTAAAGAAAATACCTTCACTTTTTTATTTATATTTTTCGTTTCAATTCAGAAACTATTATATTTTGTATAATACCCCATAATAAATCGTTAATGATTTTACAGTAATTTCATTATCACTAAATATGGTAATTTTACTCTCAGGTGGTGAGACAAGTAGTGCAGATATTATAGCCAACACCTCTGTTCTTGTTGAAGAAGGCCAATTATCAACTGATGCTGAGAAGGTTAATTGTTTGCTTTTTGAATTGGTTTGTATCCAATCAATACCCATTTTAATTTTTTAGTATGAATTTTATCTAAGGATCCACCAATATAAATTTCCAAATTCAGGGAATTGTTTAATACTTTACTGTGTTCTATTAGTTTGTGACTACAACTGTTGTCATTGATGTATTTCTTAATAACGTTCACAAATTTTATTATATGTGGCCTCAATTTATCACGTGATTAATTTTTATTGAACAATAGTATTGAACCTTCAAACCTTCCAAAGTGACAAATTCACTCCTAGTTATCAAATTCAAAAAATCAACATTTTTTGATGATTGTTTACATATCCACAAAGTCAATAATCGATGAGTTTTGATTATTCCTAACTCTTTTCGTTAAATATTAATCCACGGTAAAAAAATTACCAGAAATATATTCCGAAGCTTATACTTGATAACGAGGAAGGGTAATGGTAGAGATGTGCCATTCATAGTAACCGTGATTTTTTTCGCGCATAATGCGCATAGTGTATATATATCATAGGGAGGGAAATATCATAAATGCGCATATAATAATAATAAAGTAAATGGCATATTTAATTTTCTTTAGAAATGTTTATTAATAAGCAAATGTCTATAAAAAATATATCTAAAACCTTATGCGTAGCACAATATGCGTAACACACTATGCGCGGCACATCTCTAGGTAATAGAAAGAATGGCCATAAATATCTGATAAACAATTTTTAAGTCGTGGTATGTTATCTTAATGTAACTTTTATATAGTGATGTAAGCCGGCTAAAAAAAATATCTCTTAACATTCATTTTTACGTCTGGAAATTTTGGTGCAAAATTCAATGGCGTAGACATTTAATTGAGATGGGTCTATCTGCATCACTTCAAATGACAAAAAAAACATACATTTGCTCAAAAAATAAAAAATAAATACAATACTCGTAGCAGGATAAAAGCAACAGTTAGAGTTTCTATTCGTAATACAAATTCTCATTCGAGTTATTATTATTCGTTTTATTATTGTTCGAATTATTCATTTTGTTCGTTTCATTCAGATAAACTTTCAATGTAATTCAATAAAACAAATAATTCGAATAAACCTTATTTGAATCATTAAATGCGGGATATTATAATAACAATAATAAATAATAATAATGATGATGATGATAACAATGATAATGATGATGACAATGATAATGATGACAATGATAATGATGATAACGATACTAGTGTAGTAATAATACCGGTAAGCTTTGTAGTTTTTTCATCAACTGGGGTTCTTGACTGGCTAAGATTTTTTCGGCTTAGGCGGCTAAGGTTTTTCTACCGGTTTACATCACTGGTTCAAATATTTTTTGCGAAAACCGACTCTATCCCTAAATTTGCGGGGAAAATAACCAACATATCCACATTCCCAAAGTAAAGTTTTTTTATTTCCTTATAAATTTTTGCCGACATTTTAATACAGTCAAACCTCGATAAGCCGAACTACATAAACCAATTTTAGCTTTATAACGATTAACTAAGATCATAATATTTTATGATAAAAATTCGGTTTATAATTACCTTAAAAAGTAAATATCCACAGGGCCTGGGGTCCTATATGAATAGTAATAGTAATAATACTAATACTAATTCAGCAATTATAAACCGATCCCTATTTTTGTGATTCGGATTGACTGTGATATTGTTCTTTTTTATAAAATTTTATAACTCGAAACAAGAATAAAAAGTATAATTTATAAAATCTTATAAAATCTTCAACATTAAGTTAGAGAGTAGACTCATTTGATACTACTTTTATATCTGTAGACAAAAAGCTAGTTAGTGAAATTTTACTGCCGGAAAAATGATCGACAATTCTCATACATGTAATAAATTATACAATAAAATAAATAAAATACAATCATTAAAGAATAGTAACTTCTAATTAATTTTATGTCAATTTTTTTTATATGTTATATGATCAATTATATTTGTATTTATTCTTTATGAATTTTCGAATTCCAAATTCGAATCTTTTAATAATAATAATAATAATAAATAAACAAAAATTAGGACGATTATATTGATATAAAAACCTACCATTTATTGATTTTTTTTTAGAAAATAATAATAAATTTTCCTTCTTTCTGGATTTCTAATCATTACAAAAACATCATTTAACTGTCGTTTCATTTCCTCCCTTCCTAATATATTAAAGAAATCTATTATCCGTCATTATAATTACCTATTTCAATACACACACACATATAATCTATCAGACAAAATGATAAAAATGATAAACTTTGTACGAAATGATAATTTAAGGAAAAATAAAATAAAAGATCCAGTAGTTACCGGTGGAGCAATTAACACATCTTCAATTACAATTAAAGCTACTCGAGCACCTCAAAAAAACCCGACTCGAAAAAACCCGACTCGAAAAACCCCGACTCGAAAAACCCCGACTCGAAAAAACCCAACTCAAAAAAACCCGACTCGAAAAAACCCAACTCGAAAAAAACCAACTCAAAAAAAACCAACTCAAAAAAAACCAACTCAAAAAAACCCAATAACTCCAATAACCCCAATAATTCCGACAGATCCAACAGATCCAACAGCTCAAACAACTCCAACAATTGTAGATGATGATAACGCTAACAATAGCGGCGGTGCTGATCCAAAAAATTCCGTATCTCAAATAAGTCCAGTAGCCATAATGATAATGGTTTCAATATTTTTACTGGTATTTTTTACATTAGGTATTTTACTATATCGTAAATATTTCTATTATAGGAAAGCGAGAAAAATAGATCTAGAGATACAATCTAAAACTATCAAATTACCTATAAGTGGCAATAATCATCGATTAAGTATTGGTAATGGTAGCAATGATAATAGTCCTGCTAATAATAACAACGGTGCTCTTATCAATGGTAGCATGGGAATTGCTTATAATGAAAAATCTCTTGAACCGGTCAAAAAATTTCCAAATATACCGCCCGTAATTGAATTAAATAGAATATCTACTTTGAAAATAAATTATAATAAAGTTGATAATTCTAAAATAAACACTCCCAACGCCTTTAATGCTAATAATAACAATAATAATAACTTATTACCAGGATTCCATGACAAAAACGATGGTAGAATGACTTTAAGTGATTATAATCATTACCCTAGAAATAAAAATGGGAATTGCTTATAATGAAAAATCTCTTGAACCGGTCAAAAAATTTCCAAATATACCGCCCGTAATTGAATTAAATAGAATATCTACTTTGAAAATAAATTATAATAAAGTTGATAATTCTAAAATAAACACTCCCAACGCCTTTAATGCTAATAATAACAATAATAATAACTTATTACCAGGATTCCATGACAAAAACGATGGTAGAATGACTTTAAGTGATTATAATCATTACCCTAGAAATAAAAATAGAGGTGGTCAGGAACTTCCAATATTGATAAACCCTTAACTGACAAATTTTATAATATGAGAGATAGTATATTTATATTTAAATAATAATTGTGTTAATTATAATTTAATAATTTTTTTTCTTTATTAAGAAATAGACTTGTAAATTTTTTTATTTTTATTTTCACTTAATAGACCTTACGGTTTATATTTAACTTAATATTAAAATAAATGCAAACTTCAAATGAATTGATAAATTTTCTAAAAAATAATATGACTTCAGCAATTGACTGTGCCGGGTCCTCTCTCAACAATTTGTAGGAACTTTACCTAGATTTCTGCAGAGCGAGTAGGACTTATACCCTTTTAAAGAATTATTTTGGAAGTTTTTACCTTGCTTTAAGTAATACTATCCATTTGCTATTAACGTTTATTTTTCCTTTTAAGAAACAATAATTAGCCATCGTTGTTTTCAAACTATATTTTTAATCCATATAATTCGATCACTCGCTCACTGCAACGTTTAACGTTTAATTCAAAATTCTGCCCTATTTCATAACCTCGTTCTGTACTTAATGCATTTCCTTGTTTGATCACATTATTAATTATTTCAATACACTCATTGTTATTTAAGACAAACAATTTCAATGATAATTAGTTTTCGCCGATTTCCTTCCCTTTTTTACCATATTGGGAGCTGCAAAAGTCCCTCCATAAGCGCAACCTCCCTGGGAATTGATGAGAGCGTGCATTTATGGAGGAATGCATTTATAGAGGGGAAGAATTTTATTGGTTGCATGTGATACTAATAAAAATTATTGTACATTAATATTGTTGTTGACTAAAATTGTTTCGTCATGGTTTGCTTCATTGAATTTTTTTTTTAAAAAAATTAATGTAACGCTCAAGGGCATTAACTTGTCTTGATTTTCTTATTTTATTTTTATTAAACATAAATTTTTAAAAAAATTCGTGATCCTTTATCCTTTGTTTAATCTTTAAATTTTTTTTAATTTTCGCGTATATATAATTTTCTCCATTTGTATTTTTATCATTATTATTCTAATAACTTTTTGTCAATTAAAAAGAAATAATTAGCAAACATTCATTTAATCCTTTAAAGCAACAGTAGTTTACTTAATTCCATTACTAATATTAAAAAAGAGGTAACAAAGATGATATAAATAACGTTTGAATTAATTAATGTAACACAAAGTTGTTTAGCAAATAAATCATGTGAAAGTCACGGGAGTGCATTTAGAGAGGGTGGTTTTATATAAACGGGATGGGGGAAGACCGTGCAGTGCAGAGTATGGAGGGTGTGCATTTATCTCTAATTCCCGAGGTTGGGAATGAGACATAGCGTGGATTTATGGAGGGATGCATTTATAGAGGGTGCGCTTATGGAGGAGGGTTCACTGTAATTGTCTTCCACTAAACAAACAGTTGTACAGAAATGTTCATTGGTTTTTCCATGATTTTTTGGGAATAAATAAAGGCATCAATTGTTAAATTTTTTCACATTCCTTCGTCAACGGATGTGTCATTGTTTCTTTATTTTATAATTTTGAATCTTTGTTTAATATTTGTCTAGTAAATAGATAATGCAATAAGTTGATTCTAGCAACCTCAAAATAGCACTTGACTAAATCTTCACAGTTATTAGGGATAATGATCAGAAAATTGCTTCGAGAAAATTTAAACCCTTCTATTACTTGCAAATCAGACCCGATGAAAATTATAAAACTTGCCATTTCATGAAGATCAAGTATAAATGCCGGAAAGTCACATGCAAACTTCTTTAAATCAAACTTTTCTCTTGCGAATTCATTCTGAATGGTGCAAAGAATAATAATTATTGATTAAATAAATAAAACGTATTATTGGAACGTTACTTCTTTTAAAGGTGTTTTTGATAAACATTGGTAACTGCTGTCGTCATATTTTCTGAGCTTTCATAGATTTCTTCAACGTGGCAACAATATTATTCAAATTCAAAATTCAAAATTGCGTTGTTGCCGTTATCTTCCTTGTTGTTATCTTCGTTTCTATTTGACTTTGTTGTTATCATTATTGTTTTATCTGTGTTTTTTATTTATGGCGATGTTTTTGGTAAGGTTTATTACATCATTTTTGAAAATCACCTTATTATTTTTAATCTACACTATATTCCCCTTATTTGTAACAAATCAAGCACAACTTATAATTCGAAAAAAAAAAACTCCAATTTATTCAATCAATCGATCAGTGTTTAATCAAAAATTTCCCATTTTCTTTTTTAAATAAAATAAAGATGGTTAAGGTTGCAGTGCTCGGTGCTTCTGGAGGTATTGGACAACCTCTTTCCTTACTTCTTAAACTTAATGAAGCTGTTACAGAACTTGCGGTATATGATGTTGTAAATACTCTTGGGGTAGCAGCTGATTTAAGCCACATTAGTACACCAGCCAAAGTCACTGGCTACTTACCAGCTAATGATGGTATAAAAAATGCTTTAATTAATTCACACCTCATAATTATTCCTGCTGGTGTACCTAGAAAGCCTGGAATGACTAGAGATGACTTATTCAAGGTAATAAAACATATATTAATGTAACAATAATAATTTCACAATTTATATATGGATATATATGTGTGTTTAATAATTGATTATTTATTCATCAATTAATTAGATTAATGCAGGAATTGTTAAAAATTTGGCAACTAGTATTGCTCAATATGCACCGAATGCCTATATTCTTGTAATATCCAATCCAGTCAATTCAACGGTTCCAATTTTTGCTGAAGTTTTGAAACAATACAATGTATTTAATCCAAAGAAACTTTTTGGAGTAACAACACTTGATATAGTTCGTTCATCAACTTTTACAAGTTCAATTTCTGGAGCCGATCCTCGCGATGTCTGTGTTCCTGTTGTTGGAGGTCATAGTGGCGTGACTATCATTCCACTATTATCTAAAATTTCACCATCTTATAATTTCACACAAGATCAAATTGCTTCACTAACAAATCGTATTCAATTTGGTAATTTTACTTTATATATATATATATATATATATATATCATAATAATAAAATAAATAATAAAATTATTAAGACTTTTTTAATATACATTATACATGTATCTAATTATTGTAAAGGCGGTGATGAAGTTGTTAAAGCAAAAGATGGTACTGGATCTGCAACTCTTTCTATGGCATATGCAGGCGCCAAGTTTGCATCTTCTGTTTTGGATGCAACAGTTAAAGGTAAACCTGGTATAATTGTGCAATCATATATTAATCTTGATGCTGATAAGGAAGGTAGTTTTCAACTTAAAAACACAATTGATAACTTGGAATATTTTTCAACAAATATTGAATTGGGAGTAAGATTCATCATTATTTTATCAATTGTGAAATTATATTAATTTATAAATATATTAACCGAATATGATTTTTTCTCTTTAGCCAAATGGTGTTTCAAAGATTCTTCCACTTGGTAATCTCACTGAATATGAACAATCACTTCTTAAGGCTGCAATTTCTCAACTTAAAGCGAACATTAATAAAGGTGTTTCTTTTATGACAGAAAAATCAAAATTGTAAAATTATCCATCATCTTAATAAAAAAAAACAAAAAAAAAACAAAAAAAAAACAAAAAAAAAACAAAACAAATAACTTGATTAAAAGTTTTTTCATAATCTTTTTATAATGGAAATTTTCTAAATTCCATTAAATGTATCCATCCATAGTATAGTAATTGTGGTAATTATTCTTGTAAAAAAGTAATTACAGCAGTCATTTTCGGCTTTTAGATATTCTTTATGAACATAAAATAATTATTAAATTAAAACAGTTTCGGATATAATTTTGGCAACTATTAAAATTAACTACGGCCATTATTACTATTACTATTACTATTACTATTACTATTACTACAACTATTACTACATTAATAAAATTTCTGTAATTTAGTCGAATCATGTGACAAAACCATAGTCTAAGTGAATTTAAAATTCACAAAGCCAAATCTCGTTAAATTCATAGGTTTGGCATGGTGAGTTTTATGAATTTATTGAATCGAGAGTTTCTCTTTAATCTCAAGTCAAGAAATGACATTAGAGAGAGATTTTTAATAAAATTTTATATAAAAATCCGTAAATGCTTTTACTATTAACTAATTTAAATAAAAATAAAATGAATAAACTTTTACCCATCAAGTTGTTAAACCTTATCATTTGGGTTTAACTATGTCTTTGACATACCACAAATAGGCCAAAAAAACCAAAATGAGTCAATGCAAGTCACTTTATGGTAAAATTTTTCACTTTTGTTTTATAATTAATGAATACAAACTTGCTTTTATTTTTTAATATCAAATATGAAATTAGATCTGATCTCACTACACTTTTAAAATAATGAATTGTAATTACCAGAATTAATGAGGGATGTATAACAACCTTATTTTTTTACAATGTATAATATATATTTATTATTTTATTTAATAATTTGAACGCTTCATCAATTATTCAATAATTTGTATAAGTGTTAAACACAAAATCTACAAAGCAAAAATACAGTACCTGAACAAAAGTATCGGAACACTTGCTTTTGTTGATTGCGCAAAAATATACATAATAAACATGTATGAAATTTATATCATTTGCGGTTTAGGTTCTTGTGAATATCTATGCAAAATCCCATACAACTAAGTTTCGCAGAACTCGAATAAATATATAAAAATGAAATTCGATTAAATTTGACAATCAAAAATTTTTGACATGATGTTTTTAGAAATTGTCCAAGAACCTACATAGTAATATGTTTTGGAAATTTTGTATATGAAAACCCAAGTTTGATGATTCTGAAAAATTATTTTTTATTACATATTTTTTAAGAACATTTTTTTAAAAAAAATTTTAAAAAGTTTTCAAAATTTTAAATTTCAAAAAAAAAAAAAGTCTAATTTAACTGAAGCTCAACACGGACAAATAGTTGGCCTTTATAAAAGTGGAGCCTCATATAGAACTACTTCTAAAATACTTGGCTTCCCACCACAACAGTATATCGTATTAGAAGTCGTCCAACAATCTAAGAAATCTTAAACTTGAGGCTACTTTAAAAGAGGAATGGAATAAAATTCCTCAAAATTTTTTAATGAATTTGATTGAAAGCATGCCTAGTAGAATTCAGGCTTGTATAAAGAGCAAAGGATACCCAACTAAATATTAAAAATAGTTAAAATTTTAAATTGAAAATTATTACATAGAATTTGAGAATAAAATAAAAAATTTCGCGTCAGAGATTTAGTGATCGTCAAAGAAAATTTTTTAATCAAATTTCATTTTTATATATTTATTCGATTCCTACAGAACTTAGATGCATGGTATTTTGCATAGATATTCACAAGAACCTAAACCGCAAATGATATAAATTTCATACATGTTTATTATGTATATTTTTGCGCAATCAACAAAAGCAAGTGTTCCGATACTTTTGTCCAGGTACTGTATATTGGTGATGAATTTGCCAGAAAGGGCGTTTAATTTTTATTGGCTTGAAGATAGTTTCAAAAGCGGTTTTATCCATTATAAGTAAATATATAATAAATATAAGATAAACTCAATGTAATAAAAAAGGTGAAAGTAAAAGAAGAGTATAAAATGAAAATTAACAGTTGATATTTTTTCAAACTGTGGTGACGATGATGAAAATACTTGCACAATTAAAATAAAATGACATTGAAATATTAATTAATGTTTTTTACATTATTTTTTTCGTTTCCAACATTGGAGTTATTTTCTTGTTTGTATTGTCAACAGTTAAATATTTTTTTAAAAATAACAATATCAACTGTAATGATGATTATGACGGGGCGAAAATACTTCTTTATTCAAAAATGAAAATCAACATTTAATAATCAAGATACTTGCAACTCGTGAAAATTTGGATGGAATTACCAGAAAGTTTGTAAAGATATTTACATACTGTATATGGTCATGAGATACCTGATGTTATCCTGGCTAAGGAGATTCTTAAAAGAATTAATTCGGTTCTTTTGAAAAATTGATGCCCGCCCCTGTGAAGATATATTGTGATGTAGCTTTTCGGTTAATACCGATTGGTTTACGTTTATAGCCGAGTTCGTATTAATTTCTTGCCTACTGCCTCTTTCTTGTACCTAGAAAACTCCAGCGATCTGTAAGCACACTTTATGGTACAATTAATAAATGTGACTCTTTTAGAAAACGAAAAATGCTTTCTAAAGTTTCTTCTTTATTTACTTTTACTTTTCTTTGGCCGCTTAAAGGCTTGGCTGATTTGCTCTCTTTACAAGTCTACTTAAACTGCTTTACTTTAACACAAATAACAATATGCGATAACTAAAGACTTTGGTTAATAAATGTCTGCAATGTAGTCGATAACAGCCATTAACACTCTATTACTTTACCGAACAACTTTAACACTTTACATTTAACTCTTTTACAAAAACGTAAACAAAAATGTTTACATTTGAACCTTACTGCCCGTCGTTAACACTACATTGGATAATACCAAACTTCGCCACACTCTGATCATTAAACCCTGCTGTTTAATTTCCGACCCACAAAAGTATTTGTTTTACATATAACGGATTTTTTGTAAAAAAGTAATTTAATATTAACTTCTGTAGCTATTTTTATGGAGTGAGGCTCTGAAATTTTAATAATCAATTGACCAGTTAGTAGTTAATCAGCCGGTTGTCTTTATCCACTAAAATCTATAAAAAAAAATTTAATCTTAATATAATCAAACAAATCTATAAAACGAATTGAATTAGCAATCATTAAACGAAATTTGAAATATGCAAAAATTTAAAAAAAATTTTTTTTTTGATGATTGTTTTCTATTTTAATCTCACAATAGGATTATAATTAGCAAATATGGCAAGCATCATCGTATTGAAATAGAATATTTCTTTAAATTTTGCACATTTCTACCATCGATGTTCTTTATGAGGTGCGGAATCGATCTTAAATAATCTGATATTGACATTTTTGTGACTGGTGGATCGTATGAAGAATCTAACCGCTAAGATAAACATGAGCATATTTCAAATAGTTCGATCAAGTTTTATGGTATGTAAACTTGATGTAACAAGCCTATGCTAAATAATGCGGTCTTATTTATACAATAATACCCAAGTGTAGACTTGCATCCATTTGAAACTAAATTTCTTCTCTCCAAAAATTATTTTTATATACATTTTAATTCCTGTTTGCATGACACGATCATTTGTAGATTAAAATGGTTAAAGGCGTTAATGGTTAATGTTAACGTTATTTTTAATATTGCCCAGGCAAAAAAATTTACTGCCTTTCATTTTTAAATTTTTATTATTAGTCAGCATTGCTTCATATAACATGTAGTAGAACATCGTACGGAAGATTTACATTAATATTACCCAAAAACGCATTTCGCCTCTTATAAACAACTTGTAAATAGTAATAGATGATGATAAAAAAATGTGAGATGTAAATAAACAATAAATTGAGAAATGGCTATTTTTCTGTAACCATTCAAAAATATTTATTATTATAGTATAAAAAAAAATTAATAATAAAATATAATTTTTTTCTCCTTTCTTTTTCAAAATTAATTGACAATAACAATAATAATAATAATGACAGCAATCATCATGAATAATAAAAACAATTTATTTGTGGTTATTTTCTTTTCTTTGATCATGTTATTGTTTGCTTCAATAGTAAACTCGAATAGGATTCAAGAAGAAGTAGACTCTCTCAAAGAAACAATTCAGGAAGTTCTTAGCAATGAATTTCCGGTAAAAGCATTATATGATACTGTATCGGTTTGTAGCCAACCAGAAGATATCTTGGCGATTCATTACATAAAATTAACTCCTGACCCACCACAAAAAGGCCAAGAATTACGTGTTCAAGGCTCTGGCTATTTCAAAGAAACCGTTGGTGAAGGTGGTTATGTTGATGTGGTAGTTAAATATGGAATAGTGACGATTTATTCAAAACGTCTTGATTTATGCGAACAAGCTCCCGAGGTTGATGAAAGTTGTCCTGTTATGAAGGGAAATCATACAATTGACAAAGTGGCACAATTACCTGGAAATATTTTTCCCGTAAGAGATTTATTAATTAGTTATTAATTATTATTTATTCATTGGTAATTATAATGTTTATTTATTAATAATCATATTATTTATAATTTATAGGGAAGTTATAACATTTACGTGAATGCTTACAATGCCGATAACAAACAAATCGCTTGTTTGAGTGGCCATGCTTCATTTGGACTTTAAAATATTTGTTATATTGGGAGGGGTATGAGAGAAATTTTTTTTTTACAATTTATAATAATAAGAAAATAATGATATGTAATCATAAACATTTTGTTTTTAAATTTTTGATCTAACATATATAATAAAACAATCTCATTACTATTATTATTAAACGAAAACAAATACCAACTTTTAAATAATTATATTGGTTATTTGAGATCAAAAATAGTGATAATTAAATAATACTAAATATTAAATGATCATTAATTAACTAATTAACCAATTATCAATTACATTAATAATTTTAAGCAAATTCTGCTTCAAAAACAGCAGACATTCCCATTCCTGTTCCGATACACATAGAAATAACTCCTAATTTCTTCCTTGTTCTTCTTAACTCTGTCAAGAGTGTTGATACTTGACGTGCACCAGTACAACCCAAAGGATGTCCTATTAATCATACATACATATATATATATATAAGCGTTAATAAATTATGTAGTATTATAACAATAAATTGATTATAATCATGTAAATTAATGACTCACCGATTGCAATTGCTCCTCCCATTTAATCATTAATTATCAATTATATAGTAAATTTAAATTTAGAAAAAATCATTGTTTTTGGAAGAGTAAAATGATTCCAATATCAATCAGTTAATTTTAATTACCTTTGGATTAACTTTTTTGATATCAATACCTAATTTCTCAATAGAATATATTGCTTGTGAAGCAAAAGCTTCATTAATTTCATAAATGACAATATCATTAACTGAAAGCCCTACTAGTTTAAGAACAGTCGGAATTGCATAAGCAGGCCCTATTCCCATCACCCTTAGTGGAAACCCAACAACTGATGCTCTAATAAACCTACCAATAATTGGTAATCTAAGTCTTTCAGCTGTCTTACGTTTCATCAATAAAACCGCTGCTGCTCCATCAGAAACTTATGAGGCAGTACCTGCTGTAGTAGTACCATTTTCTTTGAGCGCTGGTTTCAATTTGGCTAATCCTTCCAATGTTGTGTTCTTACGAATTCCATCATCTTTATCAACAACTATTTCTTTCTCATCCCCTGTCTTGGGATCAATCCATTTGGTTCTTACAGGAATTATTTCTTCTTTAAAAAGACCAGATTTTTGCGCTGCTGCTGCTTTTTGATGAGACAAAACAGCAAATTGATCTTGTTTGGCTCTCGTGACTCCAAATTCTTCTGCTACATTTTCTGAAGTTGCTCCCATCGGAAGTAAACAATCTTGTGATGCCGGATTTGAGAATACCTTTTCTGAAACATCTGTTGCCATTGCTCATGCTCCATAATGAAGTGACATACTTTCAACTCCAGCGCCTTTAAAAACAAATAAGAATATGAGTATAAAATAATTATCAACAAATAATAATAGACAATATATGCATAATATTATGTATAATATATATATCACCTATCCCAATTTCAATTTGATCAAGCACAATTTCGTGAGCAATTTGAACAACTGCTTGTAAACCAGAAGAACATTGTCTATTAACAGTGTTCAAATCAGCAGTATCAGGAATACCAGTAAACAAAGCTGCGGCTCTTGCAACCGTAGCTCCACCACCAGGTGGTAAAACATTACCAACCGCCACATCTTGAATCAACTTCGAATCAATTTTTGATTTATCAAGCACCGCCTTAAAAACCGCAGCCAGAAACTCTTCGGGAAATGCATCTTTGAAACCACCTTTTTTTAGCTTTGGTGAGTGCCGTACAAACTGCTGCTACCACCACTACATCCTCTGATGATTTTCTAGACGGATTGCCAATGAGGTGGTTAGTTATTTGTTGAATTCTTTTTTCTTTTTTAATTGATTGAACAAATAAATTATTTGAAAGAAGAATTTTTTCTTTGAGTTCAACTCTATTTATATTTGAATGTGCAAATCAAAAAGATGAATTAATTAAAGCTCCAGATCAGATCCTATCGGTTATACGATAAAAAAATTTTTATTAATAAATATTAGGTTTCTAGATGATAATTTATTATAATGTATAATATCATTATAGATGGGTGTCTAAACTAAATTATTTAATTTAGACATTTAGACAATCATGGTCTCAATTGTCTAAAATGCTGAAATTGAATAATTTATTGAACTTTGTGGATTTTGTGTGTGTACACGTGACTTTTAGTTGTATTTAAAGCAAATCATTGCTATTTATATTAATTTAGACATTTAGACATTTTGTCTAAATACTATTTTGACTTTAGACGACCCCAAAAACAATTTATACGCCCATCTATAAAAATATAATGTGATTCTACCCTCTATTGCGATGATGACAACATATTACTATTTCTACTATATACTTCTAAAGGCAGATTCTTGTATTCATTCAAAACTTGACTTTATTTCCGCCAAAAATATTTACACATAAGTATTCTAACGCTATAAATATCAGTTTATTTCCTTCCTTGAAGAACTTCAGGTGCAATATATGGCATGATTACATAAATCTCACCTGATGGTTGATTATTAACTGGTCCACATAATCCTAAATTTGTAACATAACAACAACCACCATTCATTAATATATTCCCACTATGTAGGATTAAATCTTTATATGTATAAAATACAATGAACTACATAATATACAAGATTGTAATTCTATTTTTAACAGTTAAATATTGAATGATTTTTTAATAAATAATTTCCTTCCTCATAATAATTGGAATTGTTACACCATGACAAATAAACAATGGATGGTGACCTGATTTTAGTCTTTACATTTTGCAGATTTGCTAATTTATTAATATTCTTTTTCATCTTCTAAAATTTCCCTTATTTTTTTTTAACCCATTGTAAAAAAAAATTTTCTATTTTTTCTACCAGGTATGTTTTAACATTACTATACAATTCAATAAAAGTTTTACATACAAATTCTTTTCTGTCAGATGTTAATAGTCTTTCAAATGACATTTTTAACAATTAAATTCATTTTGTTTTTTTTTTTTAGAAAATGAAACACAAAGGAAATTTGGATAACTTCATTTCAAAATGAAATTAATAATATAACAGTCCACAAACATTGCTCCCAGTATCAATTATATTTCCTATCTCATTAACACCTCGATGCCTTTTCCTTTACAATTAGCAATTAATGAAATCAACAAAATTATGAAATTTCTATTTATTTTCAATATTTAAAAGCTCATCAGGCAACACATTGACTCGCAAATAATAAAGTAATAATAATAATAAGCGGATTATGCATTGTTGCATAATAACAATTGTAAAACTCTTGCCAAGTAATCTTCGTTCTTTGTCTAGGAATACGACTATACTAGAAAGGGGGCGTGTTAAGGGTGGAGCCATCATAATTGTGTTACATGATATAAAAATAACTG